TCCTTCTACAGGTGTGCAGTGGAGAGCATCCTGTGCTCGAGCATCAACGTGTGGCATGGAGGCTGCACAGCTGCAGAAAGAAAAGCTTTGCAGAGAGTGGTGAAGGCTGCACAGAAATCTATTGGAATCAGTCTCCCCACCATCACAGACATCTACACCTCCAGATGCAGGAAGAGGGCCACCTGCATCATGAAGGACCCCACCCACCCAGCACACACACTTTTTGCCCCACTCCCCTCAGGAAGGAGGTTAAGGAGCATTAAGTGTAGAACCACTAGACTGAGGAACAGCTTCTACCCTGAGGCTGTTAGACTCATGAATATCTAACTAGAATAATCACTGTGAAAAACCATATCATGTTGCTGCTGATCTGTTTCATGTTGCTGCTGATCTGTTTCAATGTTGATGTGTTCATGCGTGCACATCTGCTCACAGACTCATGTTCATGTTTGTGGTGATGTTCAATGTTTTATGTTATGAGTGCTTAGTGTATATTTAGTTGATGCATTTCTTAGTTCATATCTTAGATGTTATTACTGTTTTTCTTATACATTTTATTGTTGGATGTAACTGGGACCCTGTGTACATAATTTCGCTCCACCACATGTACCACATGAGGTGCGAATGACAATAAAGAAACTCTGACTCTGAACTCTGACTCTGACTCTGACTCTGATAAAGTCAGCAAATAAAGGATGTCCTTGAACAATATTTGACCTAGTATTGAGCCAAGCCAATGTGGAACATTAACACCAAAATGCAAACCCACAAACATCTTACATTCACTTCTGCAGTTTTATTTCCTACATGGAGATAGAAGGACTTCCAAGAAGCTCAGTTTAAGCCTGACAGATAAGATAAGAAATAAGGTATCAGTGTCTCTTGAAGTAGAGCAAAACAGTTTGGATTGAACAAACATTCAATAGTCACAAGGACACATGAAGCAAAGTCCTAACATTTGATACACAAATGTGAAACATCATTTACATATTTTGTTTCTTTTGAACTTGGATGAATAGTTTTATCTTAGGCTACTACAGTGGATGAATATATTCATCATGACACAGCAGATCTCAGAGACCACAACTCTTTCACAGTTTATTGTTTATTTGCTCATGGGCATATTTTTAGTTAATTGGTTACAGTTGTTTTAAGTATTTTTGCAAGTTTCAGTTGATGTGCATGAGAACATGATCAAACTTTACTGATGACAGAATA